ACAATTATCGCTTCAGATATGTGCGTTTTGTGAGATGCTCAAGCCGTGCTGTGCTTGCTTTTAGAGTGGATGCACGTAAGCGTTCTGAAGGTTCGCACAAATAGCGGCGAATGATTTGCACGGTCGTCGATGAACGCTTCTTTCCGCACTCAAGAATACATCACTCGTATTCTGTGCAAGAGCTGGAAGGTTAGTACTAGTACCAGTATTAGTGCTAGTGCCCGACTGGTCTTTGCCGTTTTTGCCCACTTCTTTCCTCCGCTGTCCCTCCGCCCGCCCATGTCCGACTTCCTCGCAGAAATGGGCACCCAGACACCCATCCGTTCTGCCAGAGCATCCAGGTCTCAACCATGCTGTTCTGCCAGAGCATCCAGGTTCCAACCATGATATCGTCCACCCAGACCCCATCCGTTCTGCCAGAAAGAGCATCCAGGTTCCAACCATGATACCGTCCACCCAGACCCCATCCGTTCTGCCAGAGCATCCAGGTCCCAACCATGATATCGTCCGCCCAGTCCCCATCCACTGTGTTGCGAAAACACCAATCCCGCACCGAAGCTGGAAGGCAGTGCGAAGTGCTTTCTTGAACGACTGTGGCAGGGCACCGACAGCAGAAAACACTGTCCTGGCCCCGATAACTTTCAATGCAGTCAACTGGGAATAATGTGCACCACACAGGGCCTGATCTCAACTCTTCAGTTTCTGGAACCTGTCTGAAGCTCCGATCACTCGTAAATAACGGGATAAAATGAAGCTAACTCACACACAAAGGTGGGCAAACGATCCGTCGCAACCTAGTACTATTACTAGTACTAGTACCAGTACTGGGTGCCAGGAATAATCTGTATAGTGCAAATGTAAGATTTGTGCAAGCAGAATATTAACAACTATCAAATCGTCCTCTGGGCGTTCCGAGGCTTGGGATTTAACATTCTGAGTATTAAAATCGTCTTCTGGGTGGTCCGAGGCTTGGGGTTTAATGTTTCGGTATTTGGAATGTTAGGCATATTCTGAATTAAACCCTGGCCTGGTCGCCCAAATTGGTAGATACCAGGCCCGGAACCGAGTATTTCGAAAATTGCGCAGAAGCAAAATATTCACAACAAATGAAGTCGTTTTCTGGGGGGGTCAATATTTGGACTGTTATTAGTATTTTGAATATTAAAGTACCGGCCTGTTCGCCCAAATTGGTGGTAGGCCAGGACCTGAGATTTCAATATTCCACGTATTCCGAATATTGAAACATTGATTTCCGGGGCGGTTCGAAGCTCGGATTTCATGTTTGAATATTTGGAGTATTAGGAGCATTCTCCATATTAAAATCCCGGCCCGGCCGGCCCCAGTAGCGCGACAGAAGCCAGATTTCAGTATCGTGTAGCAGCAGCAGCAGCAGTACAGTAGCAGTAGCAGCAGCAGCAGCAGCAGTAGTAGCAGCAGCGGGACAACCTGCCCAGGTCGTGCCTTCTTCGCGAATGTGCACCAGCACCGCGAGTGCGCACAGTTTGGGGAAAAGGTCTGCAGCACGACAATGCGTCGTCCTTAACGTCATACGGAAATTCCAACAGGCAAGCTGGATGCAGTACTCAATCCAATTGAGGGCCAGGCTTCGCATGTACATGTGTGCATGTGTGCTTGCTTTTGGGGTCAGGCGTGGAGGACGGGGGTGTCGTGCACGTGAAGCTTCGGAGCGTGCCTGTCGTCAGATGTACCGTAGGTGTGTCGAGATGATGGTTCAAGTTGCTGGAGTCGGTTTTGAATATTTGGACAGCCGGCAAAGTTAAATATTCCGAACGTCAAGACAGCGGTGTTGTGACACATTGCGAGGAGCCGCAGAAACCAGCGGCGCAGATCGGTGTTTGGCAAGTTATAGTGGTTGGAAGGATCTTCAAACCTTGAAGCCGAGGTTGTAAGGTTCGTGTGTTTAAAACTGTGGGTTTTGGTGGTCGAGCAATCAACTGTTGACGATTGTTCAGGGTAGCTTCTCCATCCCTAGTATACTATATTTTGGGGGTTCCTTATGATAACTATGTCTTAGGGTTAGCAGCATGGAAGAGTTCGGATCTCAAAGAAGGTGAGGTCGGGTTCCGCAGTGTTCGTGGCATCAGGCGGATCGTGCCATACGGAGGTAGTCGCATCGCTTGCATGTGGATCTCGGCTCCTTGGCTCCATCGCGCTGTTGTCATTTGGCTAAGTCCCCAACAAAAATATCAGGGAAGGCTCAAGCTGACGTCGACAGAAAGTAGTATGACTTGTGATGCGAGGCAGTCGTCGTTTCAACCACCCACGCACAGGCAACTGTTCAAATGCAGCCTCGAGCCAATCCCACCCTTGATTGAAGCAATGTTGCTGAGAGGGGCATGTCCAGACGTTGAGGACTGCTTGCTTGCTGCGATCACTCAGCTAAGGCTTTTATTGCAAATTGGACCGGACGATCAACAGCTGTTTGTGTGTGTGTGTGCGTGGGCGTTTGCTTGTCCCTGTTGGAGAAGAGTAGCTCTTCGTTCGATATGCTCGCTGGCTGCTGTAAGTTCGCCGCTTTGTACAAAAATCAACTTTTCAGGAGTCGCGAAGCATGACACCGAATGGCCAGCGACGTCGACGTCTTGGATGGGTAGAAACATTCGTGAAAGCTGCTCGTATATTGCGGATTCGTGTCACCGAATGTGGCACGTGGCACCGAGGCATCAGATCCCCGCGTCGTTTCAGTTGGATGAAGGAGCTGAAGAAGCGGGCAAGGACAACGGGCGTGTTGAGTGGTGGTGGTGGTGGTGGTGGTGGTGGTGGTGGTGGTGGTGGTGGTGGTGGTGGTGGTGGTGGTGGTGGTGGTGGTGGTGGTGGTGGTGGTGGTGGTGGTGGTGGTGGTGGTGGTGGTGGTGGTGTGATTTCGTTGTTTCTCGTTGGGTGTGCAGTTGCATAGATGCGCAAAGCGGCCCGAACATCCGTCCGCCAACTCCAAAGTTGTAGCTTGAGTTTCCTACACCGAGGGCGGTGTGCCCTGCCGTCCCTGCCCGCGGTAGTTCAGGGAGGTTTAGAGGGGCTTGTCGCCCATCTTGCGATGCGAGGCTTCGGAGTCCTGCCAGTGGATTGCGGACATGCCGTTGATTTGATCGGTTTTTGCAGAGTTTGCAGGACGCAGTCCTGGGACCGAGCCTTACAACAAGATCGGCAGCGCCGTGAATGTTGTCGATGTGCAGCTTCGCAGCGCTGTCTCTAAGGAAGATGTGCTTGACTGCTTGGTTGACATGGAGGCACACCCCCTCTAGTGCCGACACAGTGGTAGGAACTGTATAGTCGTCTGGCATTCAAGCATGGCAAATCGTGGTACCCTCATGCCCGTGAACATCGTCATGATCAGCAGCATCCTGGGGCAGCATCGTTCTTTCTGGTTCTGTCTAGTTTTGCACACCACGATTATTATTATGATGATACTAGCTCTGCCAACGGCCCACCGAAGAGAGACTGAGAGAGCTGTTCTTCTGCGTCGGATCAAGCAACTCCGTTTGCAGGCCAGCCGGATGTCTCCAACGACGCGAATGTACAACCTGGTGGGAGTGCCCGGAGCAGAGCAAGATCCTATGGGTAGTTCTCGATTTTGGAGCCCTTTCTAGGTACCAAGAATAGCACGGCCCTAAACCCTAAACCCTAATGCATCCTGCCTAGAAAGGACCCTATTCTAGAGAACTGCCCCTATGTTAGCTTGCACAGAGCGGCCGCGAGGACTCGCGGATGTTGCAAGCTTGCCCTGTGCTCTCCCAAGAAGGGAGTTTCCCAACATAGGGGACCCTAGTATCGTACCCTAATAGTAGGATCACGTATAAGGACCCCATATAAGGTATCCCTAATCTTCGGAAACTCCCAACAAGAGGGGGGATGGCAAAACCGATCAGAATCTCGAGGCTCAAACCTAACCTAGACACAAGGGGCAGATTCTTCCAGACTTCACAGCTGAAGGTCCAAGTTTCGAGCCTTGTCAGTGCTGATACCTATACCTTAATCTTCGACAAACCTTACAGCTGTCATTATTGTTGAGATCACTGTGTTATCCTTATGGTCATAACTATTCCCAATGCTTCTATCATGACAGCGACGACGACTGCTGCTACTGCCATTCTCACGGCGATCAATACCGCTAACGCTGTCGCTACCGCTGCCGCTACCACAAGCCCCAGACACCACGATACCACGGCACGACCATACCACTATACCACTATAACACTATACCACTCCACCATTGCGCCACTGCGGCTACCGCTATGTTTACCATTGGCACTACCACTACCCCTACCAATGTTCACCATTGGCGGTACTTGAACGACGGCAGCCGCTGCCGCTGTTGCTGCCGCTTCTGGCACGGCTTCCGCTGCCGCTACCACTATCACTACTTCTATTACTACTGCTGCTGCTGCTGGTGCTACTCCTGTTACATCTACCACGGCCGGAGCCCCACCGCTACCGCTACTGCTACCACTACCGCTGCACCTACCACTACCGCTACCACTACCCTTACTGCTACTGCTACTGCTACTGCTACTGCTGCTGCTACTACTACTACGACTACGCCTACCACGACTACCACGACGATTACTGCTACTACTACGACTACTACTAATACTTCTACTGCTAATAGTACTACCACTACTACTACTACTACTACTACTACTACTACTACCACTACTCCTGCTGCTGCTGCTGCTGCTGCTACTACTACTACTACTATGAGGATTGACTGCTACCACTACAACTGCAACTGCTATGACGACGACGGCTGCGGGCGACGACTTCTAGGAAAATGACGACTACTACTAAGGACGGCGAGGACGACCACACTACTGCGATTTTGACTACCACTACGACCTACTCCAACGACGGCTACAACTGCGACGATTACTGATTTCCCGGCAACCACGACTTCTAGTCCTAACCCTGCAACTCTTTCCCATAAAGATTCAGATCTCAAGAGCCAGGCCCTCATGTCTTGTGCGTCGGCCGCAGCTTGGGCCATGGCCCTATGGCTCCTGTCAGGCCCTCGCTTTTGCTTGACTTTGGGCTTTGAGGTTCGGGTCTACGGCGTACGGTTGGTGTCGCAGGCTGTGTAGCCTTTGTCTTCTTGTCCCTTCTACCTATTAGAGGTGCTTGTGCTTTCGGCATGTCCGCTGGCAGTCTCAGCGTTGCGGCTGCCTTGTGGCTACATTTCATTTATCTATATACGCACACATATGCATGGTATAAATATACGCATACCTACATGCATACATACATGTTACATACATGCATACCCCCGTTCATACATACATACATACATACATACATGTATATGCAGAAGCATAGATACATAGTTATATCGATACGTACACATGTGCAAATGTTTATGTATATGTAGATGTATCCGTATATGTACATGTATATGATTTTGTATACGTATATATATATATATATATATATATATATATATGTATGTATGCACATGTATATGTACATGTATATGTATGTCTATCTCTGGGTGTAGGTGTATTTGTATGTGCATGTGCATGTACGCGTATAGGTTCTCTGTGTGTCTGTTTATGTATGTGTATACGTTTCTGTATATCTATTTGTACGTGTTGGCTTATGGATATCTATATGTATATGTAGTTTTATTATGTATGTGTTTGTGTATATGTATATGTATATGTGTATGTAGACGTATACGTATACATGCATGTATGAACGAAATGTTGGTTGTACCAGTCTCAGCGTACTGCCTGCCATGGTTGGCGACCACTATCCTTGGAGTACCATTACAATTCATCTGATAGTGTTGTGGTGGTTTTGGTTAGCATCAATGCTTGTAAGCTTCATCATCACTTTGAGTACCACCACGGCCACCATCATCATTTTCTTCGGCAGTACTAGCGGTAGTACTAGTAGTAATATTGACAATTTCAGTTTTAATCATACTGATACTAACAATAGGACTCTAAGAGTAGCGGTAGCAGTGGCAGCAACAGTAGCAGTAGGATTTGGAGGAGTTGGTGGTGCTAGATTTATGCTGGTGATGCCAGCTTGCTGCTCCATACAAAGGTTGGCGAATGCTCAGAAGGTTTTGGAAAGTGAGCGTCTTGCAGGGATTGGCTCAGAGCCCAGGCGCTCCTCGCCAGAGCCGCAGGACGTCATCAGCCCACCTCTCAGCTTCACTCTGGCATCAGCCACTGACGAAGTTCTGAGTTTAGAAGGAATCCCAGAGGGCCTCCCAACATATTCTCGCTGAAAGCTATGCTTGTTGTTCGCACCCAAATCCTAAATCCCAGACTCCTCACACGAGCAGTTGACGGGATACCAGTGGTTCCCCCAAAGCGGCACTTTTCTCATGAGTGACAGCTGCAAGCATGCATTTTAAAGCCTCTTCGCATTCCTCCGAAACTCGGGTCTGTAGAACTATGAGCCGGAAGTATCTCAACTCACGGAAGATTACCTGCAGCTGTCTCTATGCCAGAAATACTTCAGTATTCGAGAATCCCCAAGCCCTGAAGCCAGGAGGCATGCTTGTGTATGACGCCTTGGGTGTGGAACTACAGTGAGATGGTATCTCAGGGGCCTCAAAAGGTGGGATGAAGGTAGGTGGGATAATTCCAACATAAGAGTCCTTGTCCTACCTAGCTTCATCCCACCTTTTGAGGCCTCCAAGTACGAGGCGTAAAGCAATCCAAGAACTTGATGGCAGCACAGGCAAAGTGATCGTATCTTCATGGCATCACATTGTAGTCCCACAACCAGAGGAGCCACAGGAGTCATTGTGGTCGAAGTGATCGCAGTACCCACGGTTTCCTTCGTAATGCTTTGTGACTGTAGTTGTCGTACTCGTCTTGGCAATGGCGAAGTCACATGTAGCTTAGTATCGCAAAAGTCATGACCTTCAGGCCAGTTATGCGCACAGAAGTCCAACCGGCGGCGAGAAGTGACAGCCGTGCCTGCAAAACCAAGTCCGAAAGTGTTGCAACAGCATGCAGGTAGAAACTCCTCGAGTGTTTCCAGCCAAAACTCCATCTCCTTTAGGGCTTGAATCCTGAACCGGTCCGACCGTTAGGTTGCAACATGGTGCTTCGAGCCTGCTGCAAAGCCTCGCAGCCACTCAGATGAAACCTAGCCTTACGGGCTTTCACGGTTGAAGTCCATATGTGGTTGTCGACACAAGTGCCAAGCAGTTTCGACTAGATGTTAGGACGTGCCAAACCTGAGTGAGTCCGAATGTTTCAAGACTCAGGCGGAGCATATAGGACAACTCCACTTTACGGCCATGTGTCCGACAATCCTAGTCTCGGGAATGAGCATCCGGACTTAGATTCTGATGAGAGTCAACAGCAGATAGGGAATCACAGTAGTTGTTAGCATAGTCGTTGCTATCCCCGCAGTGCCGGTAATAGTGAAACCTATCAAGCCGACTGACCACAGCGAAATTACTCTCGGTGAGTATCAACAAAACAACTTTAGGGACCTCAACAGGAGATCAGCTGAAGCATTTTACGGTGATATCCCTGCCTTATCGTGCTCCAGTATAGGGTGGTCTATTTGGGATATCATTATCCTGGTTTTTGCTTACGTGCTTTTTCGGGGCCCTATTAAACTGTATACTGACACATTGCGACCGCGCCGCAGTTTCCCGGGCACCTGCCGAGCCTTCCGAGAATCCGACAGTGTGCCTTGTGCAGGTGGCCCCGATCCATGCAGCTCCTGGGCCAGGCCTTGGGGATTAGGGGTTTAGGGCTTTAGGGGTTTAGGGTTTAGGGTGTAGGGTCCCTAAACCCTAAACCAAAAAAGCACCGATGAGGAAGGATGGCATGTGACCTCTTCCCATCGGATGCTTGCTTTTCTGTTGGGTGCTGGGCTTCCTGTAGCGTGGGCACAGAAGGAGGCCGCAACACCCGCCAAGACCCCTCCGTTTCGCCAAGACGCCAAGACTGCAGTGCAACTCCGAATCACCCCATACTCTAAACCTCGTGAAACACACACCTGAGATACGACAACTCGACAACTCCTTGTTGCCAGTTTCAGCCCGATGCCACAAGCCTCAGCACTGTGGCTGCAGCCCTCGAGGTGCGCCGGAGGGTTTCGGCTTTCCGGAGTGTTTCTTCTGCGGGCTTTGGTGTGTCTAGGAATTTGGGCTGGAGCATTTTGAGGTTGTGGTGAAGTCTACTTTCAGGGAGCTTCCAGATGGAGCTTTTCCAACCTTGGGCCAAATTCTAGAAGCTTCGTTTCGGACAGATCTGCGGAAAGCGCATGAATGTATAACACTTCGCAGATGGACTTCGGAAAGATGGCAGGATGATGTTGCGGTTCAAGGGATTTCAAGCTTTTAGTGGTTTAGAATGTGGGTCTCATCAAGAGCTTGGATTCAATCGCGTTTCCGGCTTCTTTGCCTACGTTGTCTTGGGCCTGGGAAGAAGCCCCATTGCAACCAGCCATGCAGCTGTCCAGCTGTCCCCTGGCTTCTAGATTTACGGCTCCATGCAGGTAGTTGCTCTTGAGTCCCACAGCGGCTCAGTGGTAGGTGGGTGAGCCGCGCCTCATCGGTAGGAGGGGTTTCTGAGCGTCTTCTCCGCAAGGACTGGGAGCTCGCTGTGGCTCTCCTACACGATGCGCGTGGTCAGGTTCGGACTTCGGCAGCCGTAGTTCTGGGGAGCTGAAGGGGTCGTGGATTAGTAGAGGCCGAGGGGTGCGTGATGCTCTCAAACAGCGTCTCCGAGGCCTGCAGCATCGCCTAGGCAATAGAGAAACGGCCCGACTAAGACGGCTCCTTCCGCAGTTCACTGTTGTTTGGCACGATGAAGGTTTGCAATATTTGTAGCTGTGGAAGCAGGCGATCCAGCCGAACATCGTGGTGTATGGGGCCAGGAGCTGAAATGCTAGCAAGGGCGTTACCGTTTCTGCAAAAAGCAAGCATTGATTTACCAACTTCTGGCAGCGGGCGTGCAGGATGATGGTATTCGTGCAGTTTTGCCACCGATGCCCTAGACCCGAAACCCTAGAACTTAAGGGACCACCCTTTCGGCTTGAAGCAGGGTTTTACACGTATTGAACTGTGATCAAAACTATTTCTAAGCCTTTCGCTACCCAGCGACCCCAACATCCTGAAATTATGGCACTTATGAAGGATCCTCCCATCATGCAAGGACAAATCCTCACTAAAGGGCTTCTGGAGTCTCCATGTACCCACGATTCGAAAGCGCAGAACCCTAAACCATGACCCAAAGTTTCCCTTCGCACCCGCGAGCCCTTTTTGCAGCCTTGAGTGACCCGCACAGTAGCCTTGCGGAATCCCTATGTTGCCCGGAGTGACACTCAACCTATCATGGTTCTCTCACAATAGACAATAATCTGTAGCTTAGTAACCTTATCATAACCCTTGAGTGTATGAACAACCCCGTAGCCCGTAGCCTCACAATTGCACCCTTGTAGTAGCCCTGTAGTGTCCTGATAATTCTACCCCTGCAGTAGCTTAAGTATACCTTGACCCACCAAAACCTACAGTTTTGTGGGTTCTTATTAAAAAAATGGAATTTATATGGACCCTACAACAAAGTAGGTTTTGTAGGTTGAGGTATATCTCTTGCCTTTCACCGAGGCCGCGGCCGGCCGTGCAAGGGGCCACTGGCCTGTGGCGACGGCACTCTTGGCCGCGGCGGCACAGGAAGGCGCTCCTCCAAGTGCTATAGGGGCCTAAATAATTAGAATATGGTTTCAGGACCCACTATACTAAGATTATAAACATGGGGTGCTACAGGGGCCTTAATTACCTATACCAATTTGGGGGTTCCTTCTTAAGATGATAGTATGATGGGCCCCAAAACCCTATTATAATTATTAAGGCCCCTATAAAACCTTAACGGGGGGTTTTAACATATAAGTAGTTATAAGTATAGTTATCTTAGTTTATAGGCCTAGTTACTAAGTCCCATGATCCTTTAAGTAGGCCCCAAGGCGCCCATCATTCAGTTGCCTAGAGAGCTTTTTGGTGGACGGGTCTCACGGATACTTCGTGCAGCTTTACCAACCGTTACTGAGACTCAGAACTCTAGTCAGAGCATATGCAACCGCACATATATATATATATATATAATACAATATGTATATATATATATATATGTATATATATATATGTATAGTAGACATATATATATATATATGATACATATATGCATATTTTTTCATTTCGCTATTATCAGTTCTTAAGCAGACGCAAGACCCGGACCACTTCGTTGCTGTGCAAGATTCGGCACAGCTACAGCCTGAAAGTTGTAGCCTCGTCGGCAGTAAAGTGCGACCTTGAACTTTTCCTGTGTGCAGCCGTTGCAAACTTGGTCTTGCGCCGTCCACTATGCTGATATACAGGTTCGGCATTAGCTTTACTTTTCAGAATGCTGCCCTTCTTGCCACTGCCTGTGCTAAGCGAAGGACGCCACGCGACCATGTACTTTGAAAGGACAATCCGCCGGATTCTCGCAGGCATCGGCATCAGCAAGATCGCCCAGAGTGCCGTGATGTCATCCCACGAGGTGCCGTTACTCATGGCTTTTAGTGCTCTTTACTATGGCTGGTTTGTGGCTGCATCTTAGTTTTCTCGTTGTTTTTTGTTATGCCCTTCGAGACTCTCTACTTGCGGAGCTGGCAGGGCGTAGTCAGTAGATGTAAGTAGGACTTGGCCTCATGGACGAGTTGCCTTTCTGGTTAGTATTCTACTTCTTGATTTCCACAGACTTCCAAGCAAGCCGAGGGCTTAAAGGGTTAGACTCAACTTAGGCGGGGCTTCGAACTTGGGGATTAGCCCATGACGTTTGAGCATAGCTTTGGAGGCAAGTGGCCGTTGCCTTCACCGTGGTTTTGGTGCCAAGAACAGGCGGTGAAGGCACACGGTGAAGCAAAGAGGCCGTTGCCTTCACCATGGTTTGTTGCCAAAAACACACGGTGAAACCAAGATGCCGCTGCCTTTTGGTGCCAAAAACACAGGCTAAAAGCACAAGGCCGTTGCCTTCACCGTGGTTTTGGTGCCAGAAGCATACGCTGAAGGCAAGAGGCTGTTGCCGCCATCATGGTTTGGTGCCAAAGACACACGGTGAAGGAAAGAGGCCGTTGCCTCCATGGTTTTGGAGCCAAGAACACACGGTGAAGGCAAGAGGCCGTTGCCTTCACCATCGTTTTGGTGCCGAAAACACGCAGTGAAGGCAAGAGGCCGTTGCCTTCACCATGATTTCGTGCGAAAAACAGACGGTGAAGGCAAGAGGCCGTTGCCTTCACCATGATGTGGGTGCCCAAAACACACGGTGAAGGCAAGCGAAACTGGGAAGCACTGGCGCCCCGAAACGGGTTTGTTCCGAAACTCGGGCGCGAAACTGCCCCCCTGTGATTGAAACGCCGAGCACGCGATCCGAAAAATTAATACCCCGGAACTGCGGGCATCCCAGAGGCTTTCCCAGAAAACTTTATCAAAGCCTTGCGAGCCTAAGGGCCTCAAGACCTCATTGACAGTGTCTCCGGCAGGCTGCAGGGCGGTGGGAGTCGACCCTGCTCATGCTGGCCCTTTGCCAAGGATTTAGTGGTGGTTTCGCTATTGACGTGTGATGGTTGCTATTCGTGTCGATACTATAAGGGCCTATAATTATTACTTATACTAGTTTGGGGGCTCCTGATTATAAGTATAGTAATTATGATGGGCTCCAAAACCCCATTCTAAGTATTAAAGCCCCCGTAGTACTCATCGTCATTACTGCTATCAGTCTTGTTCCTTCCTTTTTCGCCTCCTCGTCCTATTCTTCGTCTACTGCTGCAACCACAACTGCTGATTCTGCTTCGATGGGATTCGGCTTTGGCTCAAGGTTCACGGTTTGCCTTACGGGTTTCCAGACTTCGGACTCGCGGCGTCGGATTCGGACACGGCTCTTGTGTTTGTGTTTCCTTTTTCTGCCTTTTACACTTTGATGGTAGGTTTCTAACCCCTGCACACTGCAACCCCCATAATGCAAACCATCCCACCTGGAAGCCCTGGGAAACGTAACAGGTGAAGGCCGACAAGCCCATATAGCAAACCCGAAGTGCTGAAACCCCTCGACTCTCCAAGCCATGAGCCCCAGAAGTACAAGGGAACCAGGTATGTAACTTGGCCGTAACGCTGCATTCCGGCAAATAATCACTTGCCGCCTGGCCCACACCTCAACAATACTCCTTAACGTTTTCATTGCAGCACCTGAGGCTCCTAAGACTCCCAAGACAACCCCATGGGACCAACATACGCACCAGACTGCTTCGAGATTAACTCTAACCACTGTAAGCGTTCAGACCAGGCCGAGAGAATGCTAACATCCGCAGGCTACATGTCATTGAGATTTGTGCATCTCGTTCGATGAACATAAACAGCTTGTCGTGTTTGGGCACGCAGTCTCCTCTGTGCTGAGCTGCCAAGTGGAGCATACAAGTGGATCGAGGAATATGTTGCTGCTCTGCATGCTGGACGGTTCCGGTGGCACTGGGAAGGACCATGTCGTCTCCAACTGCTCGCAGCAGGAGCACAAAGTCTCTTTCACTGAGGGATTTCGAGAGGCGAATCGTGTGACTCTGGTCGGACTTTGGGGACTTCGAGTGCTTCGAAGGCAAACATGAGCACAGGATTGTGGCGAGGCACGGTTTTCCTTTGCAAATGGCTGTGGCAAGAGCGCGATTCGGCAAGTTCACCACCCGCATGATATTTAGATTTCACACGAAGTGAGTGTGTTCGAAGGACGCGGCCAGCAAGGGACTGCGAACCAGCGAACATGTCCATCGCGCAACAGTGGGATCCATGGGACCGGCAGGTGCACATGAGGAATGCTGTATACATATATATGTATATATGTATATATGTATATATGTATATGTGCACATATATGTGGATATATGTATGTTGCCACTCTGTTGCGTGAACTACAAACCGGACGCCCTCAACCCAAGTTCAAAACTCTGTAAAGCCTAAACTCTAACCCCTGAACCCTTTGCCTAAACCCTGAGCCCAGGAAGGGGCTCGGCGCGCGCACTTGGAGCCCGACGTAGTCGAGTTCAGCAGTCCCTCGGCCGGCCTTTTTGTATTTGAGGTTTTGAACCTTCAGTGCCGCATTGAATGCCGACAACTTCCTTCAGCAGATTCAGCAGGTAATCACGTCAGTTCCAGATGCTCGGAGGTAAGGTACTGCATGCACTGCCCCCCCTGGTATAGGTGAGGTTCCAAAGCGGGGCCGTCAACAAGTCGTGAACGGGTGGAAGCATGTCAAGGAAGAGACATCTCATGAGAGGCTGCAAAACCCTGCAGCCCTGCAAGCAAAAGTCTGGTTTAGGGTTTACGGTTTCGGATTTTGAGAAGAAAGCGCCGGCAAAGATCATGATTCCTTACAACTCCCCCAAACGAAAGAACTAAGCAACTCCCCATTTGCAGACGCCAATTGCAGACGCAGACCTCGAGGCCCAACTTAGTATAAGTAGGTTATAAGCAGAGTTATAAGTACCCAAATGAAGTTACCCGAATTAGAACCGACTTGCTGGGCCACCCCTACATTCAACCCGCCATAATACGCCTTATAGTAACCCTGTAATAGGATCCTTTTAAGAACGCTTTGAAGGAGCCCTATTCTAATTGATAGTACCCTTCTAGATCCCTTTTGGCAACCCTTAATAGCAATCATGAAGGCCTCTATAGGACCCTTTACAGGAACCCTATTCTCTTGAGCCCCAAAATACCCCTTATAGTAACCCTATAATAGGATCCTTTTAAGAGCGCCTTGAAGGAGTTGTTCGAGTAGAAAGGCGGGTTCCCTTACAAGTAGCCCCTAAACCCTAAACCCTAAACCCTAAACCCTAAACCCAATAGTAATTATGAAGGCCCCTACATTGGAAAGGCGGCGTGAGCGCCTCGTCCCGGAGCTGGCCCGTGGCCTTGGAAGTGCTTTTGGAGGCCCGGGCGAAGGGGCCGAAGGGACCGAAGCGGTGATGCGGCGATGCCGGGAGGGATCGAGATAGGGGTCCCTTTAAAGGGATCGAGGTAAGGGTTCCTTTAAAGGGATCTATAGGGGTACTATAAGGGCTTCTTTAAGGGGATCTATCAGGATTTCGGCAGGGATCGGAGGAGTTGTAACGAGGGCTGTTCTATGAAATGGTTCTATGAAATGTAGTAACGATAAGAATGGCAGTTGAGAAGTGGGCTTTTCCGAAGGATCACTCATAGTTTCATAGTAGCAAGCGGGGTGGGCCACTAGCGTCACATGGTGTGTTTCTTTGCCTAGCTGACAATTTGATATCTCTTTGGAAGCAGTGCGTGGCAGACATTTTCCAATCAACCGTCCCGGTGATCGGAGGACCTCCATACGCCTAGTGTCCATCTTCTGCAGCCATGGCGAATGAATGGCAAGACGGCTGCTCTGACACGACTGAAGCGTTTCGCGACGACGATGATCGGAGGTATGGGCGTCAAGTCCAGTTTCCATGCAACCCCCAGCCCCAAGGACAGTGCGACGACGATGATCGGAGGTATGGGCCCCAAGCCCAGCCTCCATGCAACCCCCAGCCCCAAGGACAGCGCCGAAACAAGCCACATCCTGGGAGACAACAGCGAGAGTGGAACCGCCAGCAGCGGCAAGCTGAGAGTTCGGCCGTTTGGGAACTTGTGGATGATGATGCTGCAGCTGAAGCTTCTGCCGCATCCGTGGTCCAGCTTTTTGAAACCCTGGCGAAGAGCAATCCGGAGCAGGCCAAAGCTGCTTTCGCAGACATCCAAAGCCTTTACCCCGAGTTAGTGGGCTCCGGATCTGGTCATCAGACTCAGGCAGCTCCATCGAGATCTGCGCCCGGAGGTACAGCTGCGGCAGCAAGTTCAGCGGAAACACCAGGCGTGACATCACTCGAGCCAGTTGGACTACCGGTGCAGGAGTCAAGTACCGCTGGAGAAGCCGAAGCCGCTCCAGATGTGACAGCAGTCGAATCACCCGTTGCATCGGCGGAGCAGCTGCCAAGCGCCGGCGCAGCAGCAGCAGCAACAGCGGCACCATCAGCGAGAGCGGCACCACAAGAAGCAACAGCATCGGCGGAGCAGCTGCCAAGCACCGGTGCAGCAGCAGCAACAGCAGCACCACAAGAAGCAACGGCATCGGCGGAGCAGCTGCCAAGCGCCGGCGCAGTAGCATCAACAGCAGCACCAAGAGCAGCACCAGCAGCAAGAGCGGCACCACAAGAAGCAACAGCATCGGCGGAGCAGCTGCCAAGCGCCGGCCCCGCAGCAGCAACAGCAGCACCAGCAGCAAGAGCGGCACCACAAGAAACAACAGCATCGGCGGAGCAGCTGCCAAGCACCGGCGCAGCAGCAGCAACAGCAGCACCAGCAGCAAGAGCGGCACCACAAGAAGCAACAGCATCGGCGGAGCAGCTGCCAAGCACCGGTGCAGCAGCAGCAACAGCAGCACCACAAGAAGCAACGGCATCGGCGGAGCAGCTGCCAAGCGCCGGCGCAGTAGCATCAACAGCAGCACCAAGAGCAGCACCAGCAGCAAGAGCGGCACCACAAGAAGCAACAGCATCGGCGGAGCAGCTGCCAAGCGCCGGCCCCGCAGCAGCAACAGCAGCACCAGCAGCAAGAGCGGCACCACAAGAAACAACAGCATCGGCGGAGCAGCTGCCAAGCACCGGCGCAGCAGCAGCAACAGCAGCACCAGCAGCAAGAGCGGCACCACAAGAAGCAACAGCATCGGCGGAGCAGCTGCCAAGCACCGGTGCAGCAGCAGCAACAGCAGCACCACAAGAAGCAACGGCATCGGCGGAGCAGCTGCCAAGAGCATCAACAGCAGCACCAAGAGCAGCACCAGCAGCAAGGGCGGCACCACAAGAAGCAACAGCAGCAGCAGCCTTGCCACCACCACAACCCTATGTTCCGGGAGCAGGCCTAGCAACAAATCCATGGCTGGAGGCAAAGTTTGAGGAAACCACTCGTGCCGGCTTTCCAGATGTGCATCGCGATCCAACCGGCCGGCCAGTTTTCCGCAGTACTTACATCCCCAACCTAGGCTTGATAGGCTCGGGATGGCAGGGCAGCACGTACGTGAGCAGAGCCGGGAACAGGTTCGACACAACCAAACCTCCCCCGGGACGCTGTTTCAACTGCGGCGGAGATCACTGGCGCAAGCACTGCCCTCGCAGTCGCAGCTGAACCGTTGAGCTCTTTTCGGTCTTTTGATCATTGCGGGCGACGTCAACCCGCTTGCCCGTGTTTCAAAGTACCTGCTGGCACACTGGATAGGACAATTAATTTGTTTCGCTAGGTTTGTTTCAAGTTTGAACAGATGTCTCATGCCATGCAGACACCAAAGCGAGGGGCACCGCTAGAGTTTAGGCATCGCCCGCCCGTTGGCTCCAGCAGGTGTGAATTTCTGAATCCCAGAAGGAGCTCCCGCAAGAAGGTGGAGGTGCCTTAGGCCGAAGTTGTGAAAGGGCACTGCTTGTCATCGCAAGTGGTCAATTGTGTAGTACTTGGTGTTGTTGTAGTGAGTTAGTTTTAAGCCTCTGCTTATGTAGCTTGGAGGACACTCGTTTGTTGGTGTGTGTCACTGAGCCTTGCGGGCACAAAACATGCGATCTCTGTTTTGCGAAGCTGCAGTAGCTCAGAAGCTTGAGCTTCCAGTCGCGGCTGCTGATGTAGGCCCACTGGCTTTGTAAGAAAAGGTATAACATCTTGATCCTCCTGACAGCGGCAACGGGCCTGCAGCCGTGCTAGTGATGGGACGGCCACAAGTTGAACTGCCCCTGGTTTCCCTCGTACTTGCGTGGAATTACCGTAAGCCGTGCTTCTGATCTCAGTCGAGCTTGCGTGGAATTATCGCAAGCCGTGCTTTTGATCTCAGTCGTGCTTGCGTGGAGTTATCGCAAGTCTTGCTTTCGATCTCAGTCGTGCTTGCGTGTAGTTACCGCAGGCCGTGCTTTTGATCTCAGTCGAGCTTGCGTGGAATTATCGCAAGCCGTGCTTTTGATCTCAGTCGTGCTTGCGTGGAGTTATCGCAAGTTTTGCTTTCGACCTCAGTCGTGCTTGCGTGGAATTACGGCAAGCCGTGATTTTGATCTCAGTCGAGCTTGTGTGGAATTATCGCAAGCCGTGCTTTTAATCTCAGTCGTGCTTGCCTGGAATTATAGCAGCAGTGCTTTTAGACTTAGTCGTGCTCGCGTGGAATTATCGTCGGCCGTGTGTGTTGTAGTTTTGCTCAGCTTCAATCACTCGTGCTTGGTGGGCTGCATCACCTAGCCGTGCAGCACTGCCACGCTATGTGGTGTCCAGCCAGCAGACAGCATTTCTTGGTAGTGATTGAGGCCATCCTCGGAGGTAGTTTTACCACGTAGTTTCCGCAAACGAGCCGTGCTAACGTGCAAGGCACCTCGGTCGTGCTGTGAAGGAGGTCTTGTATACTTGCAAAAGCCGATAGGGCTGCCAAGATTTGCAGGCTGCTGGACCTGCGGAAGTCAGGCCGTACTTTCTGTGTGACAACGACCAAGTGGTAGATGTGCATCGTGCTTGGCGTGATGCATCGCCAAGCAGCGCAGCATTGCAGTTATTGTGCAGTCTGCATCGCGCATCGCTCACAGAACCTTCTGCTCGACAGACTTCCTGCTGGAATGATGGGATTCGGGGCATAGCGATGCCGTATGCCGAACGAGCTTTTCAGAGACCCGTTTGTCACTGTGTCAAGCTACGAGTTCTGCTCATCCCAGCCAGCTCTGCGTGGAACATTCGCAGGCCGAAGTCGCACAGGCTGTGGGTTTGGACAGCAGGACGAGACTCTTAGGACTGAGATTTCCCTGGAATGGATCATTCATGGATTGCCAAACAGCGTCGGTAATTACACTGTTGCTTGGATGACAAAGATGCATATGCAGTTGTTTGGTACCTGTGATGACGAAAGCAAAAAGTGTGTTATGATATGCACACACTCATAATCTGTTCTGCTGTTGTATCTTACAGCACAGTATGTTGTAGTATAGTATAGTAGAATAGAATAGAATGGAATAGGAGAGAGTATAATATAGTATATTACGTCATACCATGTATTCTTGTCTGAGCTTGTGTTATCTGTTATTTCATCAGATTAAAATCGGCACGTACGTGTGTAACACCTGTTGGAAGCCCGTATATGCTCGACTGAAACACGCACACACATTTTCTACGTGTTGCCATATGTCTACGTATTGCCAGATGCCATCGTGTCTAGATCTTTTGTGCTTCCGCGTGCATATCTACTGTCGATCTATCTACCTGACTCCGCCTACCTATGTTTATGTCCATTTGCGCGTTTTTCTTGTCATGCACTTACATGTAGTCTTTGTATGTACATGTCTGCGTATGTGGGTGTATGCATGTGCATGTGCACATATACATACGCATGTCGATAAACATACGTAGGCGATACACAGACATTGTAGACTGTATGGTTATGCCAAACCGGTTCTTATGAGTTGTTGCCGAGATGTAGTCTCAATCAAGTTTCGTCCTGATGATCATTCAAGCTCTTGTTCTGGGTAGTCATTCGTCGTGAGAGCATGAAGCGTTCATCGACCACAACATCCAGACGGAGCCTGTCGATGCTGCCGTGCTTGTGTAGAGCCGGGAAAAGACTTGCGTACACTTCGCATGTTCCCACGCAGCTTCAGTCTAGGCTTGGCAGCTTGTTTGCTACGGGGTTTGCATGGCGAGAGATAGTGAGATCGCCGAAGGCGTCACGAAGAATGTGTTGCATTTATTCACCGATTTGGGAAGGCGGTTCCGCGGGTCAAGGGATGAACTGCGTTCTTTGCGAACCTAGAGCGATGCAAGTCGCTTACACGTGGCATGTTCCACGTAGCAACGGAAGCATATCCATGATCCCTCATACCGAAACCTGTCTCGGAGATTGCATTCTCAGCAGGGTTCTCGGCTGTTAAGCTAGCAGATTCAGTGCTTCCGAAGCAGGGCCGGCTGTTTCAAGTTGTTTGGCGAGTTTGGTTACAGGATTTCCGACCTTGCCGGGGACCTTGCCGGGGCTTGAGGAGCTTCCCGTGTCTTGTTTTGAGCGGGCTTGCGGTGTTTCAGCTTCTGTTCCTCGTAGCATGCTGTTGCTGCTTCCGCTCGTAACAGTCTAGCAGGAGAAATAGAACTAGAATCAGTAGCAGTAGTAGTAGTAGTAGTAGTAGTAGTAGTAGTAGTAGTAGTAGTAGTAGTAGTAGTAGTAGTAGTAGTAAGTAATGGTATTGGTAGTGGTAGTTGTAGTGGTAGTGGTGGTGGTGGTGGTCGTGGTGGTGTTAGTGTCAGTGGTAGTAGTAGTAGTAGTAGTAGTAGTAGTAGCAGTGATGATCTGGAAGTAATCATCATATGACGCAACATGGTAGTTAAGGCAGCTGTCTTATGTGTAGCCCCAGTAGCAGGAACAGCAATTACATGCTTTTATTTATTTGTGTCCGCGCTACTGCTGCTATCAGCAGTGTTGTGAACAAAGAAAGTTGTAGCATTGTGTAACTGTTGTCGTGATCGTTTGTAAACTTTGCTTCCATGATTATCAACGGTTATGACAACTGTTTGGATTTCCCCTAAGCTGCAGGCAAAGGCCTGTGGGATTCAGCTCGATGCGGTGGCGAACAACGCCGTCACAGCCTCGGTCGGGATCGAATGCTTGGGGGATTTGAGGTCTTTATACTACAATGCGATATGCCTTGCAAGCTTCCTTCCCGGCTATATGGTACCCCATGCTACGTTGTGTTGCGCTTCACCATGTCGTACTATGCTGGAATGGACAAACAGAAGGCGAGCATGAAAGAGTTGAAGAGCCCGGAAGGAGCTTGGCTCTGTTATTTGGTGCTGTGGGTCAGGTTCCTTTCAGTAATGAGCCAGCTCGGGGGTTCCGCTGCCTTCTGTAGTTGCTTTCTAGGCTCTTGATTTCGGGCATAAGGCAGGGACTGTGAGAAGCCGAGGAGCACTGGGGTTTGCAGGCCTTCGCCGGAAGCGACAATAGATACTGCACAGTGCACAAGTCTGACTCGCAAAGCCGGAGATGCTTGCAATGGGACACAAGCTTTCTGGCAGGCCACCATGCACATGCACAGTAATGAGTTCTCATCAACGTAGCCAAGGAAGTAAGCTGGCTTCTCCATCCTTCGAGAACAAGTCTCCGCTGGTTTCCGACGTCACAAAAGCCCGCAGCTTGAGGTTGGACCGGCACAGGAACGATGGCGCCTCAACCTGTTCACCATGAAGCCTGAAACCCTGCATTCTCAATCTAACTTGCTGCAGCAGATGGGGCGCGGCGTAGGGTTCACCCTAGAGGGTGGGTGTCAACGCTCACGGATTGGCAATTGGAAATCCCAGTAAAGTCCAAAGCTTAGACCACGCACAAGACAGCCAGCGCTGCCAGTACAATCGCCCTCAGCCCTGCTCCGCAAATTTCCAGCCCCAACGCCCAGATTTACAAACATTCCAAGGATCCTGAACTGAACTCAACTTCAAGGAGACCACCTAAACCCTAAACCCTACACCCTAAAAGGCTCCAAGATCCAAGCTTCCCTGAAGAAACCCAGGCCATCACTGCTGCCGGCCGTGGGTCCTGCTGGCCACTGGCCTTGGAGACGCTGGAACAGGCGAACAGTACAACCTACCATACCGTCCTATACTATGATATAATAAAGCTGAACATAATAGATATACTATATGCTATAATATGTACAAATATGTATATATATATATATATATATAGTACATGTATTATTTTCGCTATATATAGTGTAACCTTGTGGTTCGGTGTCTTAGGGCCTAAACTGACTTCTATTCCCTTAAGAGTTCAAGTCTGACCCTGCTAAGCTTGCTGGACTCAGGATTCCTCGAAAGGGAGACTTGCCGATATGTCAGGGAAGCCGTAGAAGCTTTTAACATCTAGACTCCAGAGAGTGGGCAGTTTAAAGGCGGGTGTTGTTTGCTTGCCTTCAGTGGTAGACTTTCCAGTTGACCCGTTACAGAATCTCCAAAGCTCTTATGCCGAAAACTTAGGACGAAACGCCCCGCACAAAGCTCCTTGAGCCCACAACCCAAGCCCACAACTCCGAAAGGCCCAGCCCATCGCAACTCCAAGCCTTCACTCTCAACTCTTAACCCTAAAGACAGAACCCCGAATCCCAAAACCCTTACACCTAAGAAACCCAACTAGCCCCCCGGAGCCACCGAACCGCAATTGCCAGCAACACCCCTAGACCCAAAATCCAGAAAATCGACGATCCTAAGCCCAACAGAAGAATAAACCCTATGAGCCCTACTCACCCAAACATGCCCCCTGGCAAACCAAGAAGCTCCCAAGAAAGGCCCTTTTACTAGTCTTTACAGAAGTCTAGCTGCAAAACCTATGGTCCTTGATCCCCTAAAGAGGCCCTCTTACCATTCTTAACAGAAGTTTAGCCAACCCCATGGTCCCTAAACCCTAATCCCTATTCCCTAATCAAAAAGGAGGGCCCGGCCCTCATCTCCCTGCGGAGGCCTCGGCGCAGGGCGCGCGCACCGTCCGCAGCTTCCGGGCCGCGCTGGCCCGGGGCCCGGAATTTAGGAATTAGGGTTTTAGGGCATACGGTTTATAGTAGTGGGTGGTGTTCTTGTAGGGATACTGGCAATGGGCATCTTATTTCATGTCTAGTTGTGCTCTTTGTCTTTGTCTTGTCTTTCTCGTCTTGTCTTTCTCGAGTGGTTGAGAAGGGTTTTAGCGGGTGTCCAGCGGTTTTTTGGCAGGTTTTTTGCGGGTTTTTCATTGGGTTCAATGCCGGGGCGGCACTGTTACCAGGGAGGGTGTCCGTGCAAGCGTGAAAGGGCACGAGATGTTTGGGATCAGCGCTCTCGCGCGGAACGTGTTGAGGTCCGAGAGTCCAGCCTTGAGGCTGTTTCCGGTGGCCGTTTCCACACCGTCGCTTCGTAAACCTGAGGCTGCCATCGGCTCGGGTGGCTGGCAGGGTGCGCTGAGGCAAGTCCGGCTTTCTGCCGGGTCTGGCGGGATACCTGTGCAGCCCCACTCCCCCTTCGACGTGAGAGCGGCGATAACGGTCACAAGAAGCACCAGGCTCGTTATGAGCTGGGAGAGCTCCAGTGTCAATTTATCATGTAGTGGTAATTAGAACGAGAACCAGGGAGGGTTCCTGCTGGGCACAAGGAGTCTTAACGCTGAACAAGCCTCAAGCTTCGTTCTCCAGACTCAAGGGCCGCTACTGGCCGCCCTGGCCCGGCCCACTCCTTCTGCAAAGTCCTAGGCTTCAAACTCCGAAAAGCCCCCAGGCCGTGATGTCACCAGAACCTCAAATTCAACTTGCCCAGAAACGAGGGGGGACGTTTCCAAGTCCCAACAGCCTAGACATGTGCAACTTGAAGACTTCCAAACGAAAACTCCAACGCCGTTCAATCCCTGAACCCATGGTTGCAGCCCGATCTGCAAAGCACCACCGGGGACCTGTCCTCTCCCTTCTTTGCCAGGTTGCTGAGCTCCATGCGTCAGCGAGCCGTGACACCTGACCTGGAGTGCTTCAACGAGGTCTTCCGTCTGAGCCACTAGTACAGTATTATTGCGTCTTCGTGGCAGTCCTAATGCCTTTGATTTGCATCATCAAGTTTCACGAATCCTGGTTTGCTGGTCCTCGAGCTCCCGCTGCTCCTCCTCATCTTTTGCTACAGCTGCTCCCGCCTCCTCCTCCTCCTCCTCCTCCTCCTCCTCGTCCTGCTCCTCGACGGACTGCTAGCGTCAACAGACATAAATGCTGTAATCAGCTTCATCATCGGGCGCCGAGCGGGTATGTTGGCTTGCAATGTCTCTGCATGTTGCCAGGTGTTGCTCGCGTGCTGGGCCCTGAGACATGCTGAGGGAAGGATGTGAGTTTTTTTCAAGCAGGCCTTCAGGATTTGGGTTTGCTTGGGCTTTGCAGTTTCGGCTTCCAGGGTCCATGATCCATGGTGGAGAGCTTTTGTCGTGGGTCTCTCTTCTCCGAGGCGCCAGCGCTGGCGCCTGGGAGGTTTGCACCTCGACGCTGCAGGCGATCGGGCCGGGCCGTGATATAGCGGGTATAGAGAAGGCTGCAGATGTGTCTTTTGCGGGCGTTCCCCGAAGGTGAGGGTAGCCTTCAAACTTGCGTCAAAGACCGGGAGACTGAGCAGTTCATACGGCGATATGTATTATAGGATTACAATGATAAGTTCAATTGTGCAAAAGGTCAACCTAGAGCCCCGACCCCCAACCCACGTCTCTTGTAGTCAAGCCTCGTGAGGTGATGCGCGCCAGCAGGCCGCTGCGGCTTCTTCGTTCGTTGTTGCCGGGTGTTGCGAGGGTCTCCTCGTGGTCTTCAAGAATTTGGCAGTTCAACTCGGGCTTTCAACGGAATAGCTCTTGAATTCCACTACAAGGAACCACAGCGGCCAGACCGACATGATCAAGCCTGGGCGCTCAAACACACAGAAAGGATCGGCACGGCAAAGTCGACCGAAGCAGATGTTGAAGGACTCTGTGTGAGAAGAGTCTTAGTAGATTCCTTTTGTCGGCTTCAGCCCAAGCCCACCTGCAAGCTTCACCTCTCATAGGGGAGGCGGAGCGCCTCTGATTCCGCAGGTGCCCCCCGGATCTCCGTGCCTTCGGCTGCAGCGCGCGGTCTTGCTCGGACCCCGAGTGCCATCCAGAGCAGTCTGGGATCAAAGCCCTTGGAAGCCCGAAGCCCTTCAAAACACAGGAGCAGTCCCAAGAGTTTGTTGCTTTGAGAGGAAGGCGGCCGCCGCTTTGACTTTGGGCTCGAAGGGAAGGGACCGGGGGCCCCTTTGGGGTTCCCCCCGCCCTCTTTTAAGCCACCGCCATGCCACCTCACATGGCCCCGGGCTGAGCTTCTCACAGGCTTGCTGAGGATCTCCAACGCTGGCCGAGCTTTTCTATGCCTTCCGGTGCTGGGCGGGGTTTGTGGTGGCGTTTTGGACAAGGGAGGCTTCGGTGCGGCTTCGGCTGTGTGAGACTTCACGGCTTCAAGCAGCTGTCTTCACGGATCAACAGTGCCCATTGCAACGACGTTCTCGCACGCTGACCCCTTGCACCCAAGGTGTTTCCATATTCCTGGCAGCTTCGAGGCAGGGCGCGCGGGGGCGTGTGTCGGTTCAGGTTGGGCCGTAGGCCTCGGCAGTTTTCACGTCAGGCTGTGACGGTGGTGTCGATCGCTCGAGCCGCTTCGCGTTTTGGAGAGTCCTTCACAAACATTGCATGTGCTTGGCCCGTGGCTGTGAAGGCTCGCTGGCTGCTTTAAGCGTTCCGGTACTGCTGTGACCCGGCGCATACTTCAAGCTTCGATCAGAAGTGCTAAGGCTCATGCTGCTCCCATCTCTTGTTGCAACTCTTGTTTTCCCCTTTTTTGAGAGGCAGGAGCCAGCGTTAGGTCCAGCCTCGCGAAGAAGAGCCAAGACCAAGCTCGACATAAAGTGAACTCCCAACATCCACCACATCGGCCAATATAGGGGCCTTAATTAATCATTAGAATAGGGTTTTGGGGCCCATTACACTGTAAGGATAACAAGGAACCCTCAAAATAATATAGGTAACTGTTTAGGCCCCTATTGTACTTGTACTTGTACCAAGCTCCCGAGCTGCCAGAGCGAGCCGGAAGCCGGATCTTAGAAAAGCGCAGCTTTTCGCAAAGTTGCAGTGGAGCCCAGGTTAATCTCTTCCGTCGAGGCCCGGACCGGGGACTCCGGGATTTGGGGAGCAACGCCCAAAGGCCCTAATAGAGACCTGGCCCCGAAAGAGCGTTTCAAATGTCCCCGAAGCTGCCGAAGGGGGCGGAGGTCCGAGCTACCGCCGCGATCGAGGCCGGGGCCTTTTCGGGGGTTTTGGTGCCCGGGAAGACACTTCTGTACTAGTAGGATTTAGGTTTAGGGTTTAGAGTCCGGGATTGGGGGCGCTCATGGCTCAGGGTGTAGGACCCGCAGCAGCAGTGGCGACAAGACCTACGTCATCACCGTCTTCATCACGTAAATTATGAGCATCATGATCGTGACTCGCCATCCTGCACGTCTGCAAGGTTCGTATCGATATGATTGTGTCCGGATGCTTGGAGCGTGGTCGGTTTGGCCTAGACAATCAAAAGCTTGGTTCAGGCAGTATGAAGTGGCTCGAATGTTTCGAGGTTCAGGTGAGTTTTTGTGATTCAGTTTTGAAAGGGTTGTTTGGGTTTGCATACCTTTCAAGCCTCAACGCCTGCATCTTTAAAACGAGAAAGAAGTCTTGCATTGGTGGGCAGGTCGTGAATGGCCTGGAGATTCACGCTGGACATGCAGCGCACCACATGACCGACCCGCGTCTGCGTTCATCCGACTTGCTTTCTGCCTTGTTCTGGCGCCGGGTATTTGGGCACCGCCATGCTAAAGGGCGATTACTTAAAGGGTCATGGGACTTAGTAACTAAGGGTATAATTAGGGAAACTATACTTATAACTACTTATAACCCCAAGTAAGGTACTTATAACCTTACTTGCTAAGTCCCATGATCCTCCAAGTATAGTGCGCCAACCGAAGGAGTGCGGGACCCAAGGGCTTCTTAGCTCAAAAGCCCTGAAGTCTCGACCCCACGGAAATTCTGAAGGCCACGCACGTGTATGGGAGTTCTTTGAGAGTTTCAACCATCCTGTCCTGGAGTCCTACTTGAAAGTTGATCTTAGATGTGGATGCCTGTGCTGATTGTTATGAGCTCTTTGGGAAGCTGTATCCGTCGCATGATGCGCTGACTCCTCTCACCTCCGCAAGAAGCAATGCCAGCAAATCCCTCGCTTGATGTGACACGTATCCTGTACTTGGAGGGGCAGGGGACTTAGTAAGTAGGTTATAAGTAGAGTTATAAGTACCCTAAGTGGAGTTACTCCAATTATAACCCTACTTATAACCTACTTACTAAGTCCCCTGCCCTTCCAACTACTGCTGTCTTGACCCCGATGGTTTTTGCAGCATTTGGTCATACAGCCCCTCTGGAGCCACGAACCCTAAACCCTGAAACCCTATAAAGGCAGAAAGTCTTTAAATTCCCAAAACCCCAACACCTAAAAAATCATAAGCCCCAGCAGCCCCAATGCCACAAAGCCGGATTTCCTCAACCATGGAAGGGGAAAGCCTGCTGTAGCTTCAAGCCCTCTAAAGACGAAGAAAGCTCATGCATACCCTCTTTTCGCTGGGGCTCCGAAGCTGCCTCGAGCCCTAAACTCCTAAAGCCTTGCGCCCCAAACTCTAACCCAGAGCCCTCACCCCGCTTTTAAACCCTAAACCCGAAACCCCTAGACCCTAAACCCCTAAAGACCGCTCATCCCCGCGCCCTAAACCCTAAACCCTCCGAGGCGCTCACCCACCGGCTCCGCAAGGGCGCTTCCCACCGCCATGGGGAGAGGAGCCGGGCTTCGCTGGAGGTGGGGGCTTCGGGCTTTAGGGTTTAGGGTTTGGGGTTTAGGGTTCGGGGTTTGGGGTTCGGGGTTTGGGGTTCGGGGTTTGGGGTTTAGGGTTCGGGATTTGGGGTTTGGGGTTTGGGGTTTGTGGAGGTGGGGGCCTTCGGGCTTTAGGGGTGAGGAATTTTCGGGTAGAAGGGTTTAGGCATTTTGGGCTTTGGATTTAGATTTCCAGGTTCCGGGCCGTTTAATCAGGGCATGTTTGGCGGGGTACGGGAAGGTGGTTAGTAGGGAATGGAGGAATGGGGTACAATTATAAATACTATTGCTACCATTCTTCTATTCCCTACTAACCAAAGCAGGTAAGGGTACGGGAAGGTGGTGACCCAGAGAGCCCAATACCCCTTAATTAGGGAAACTAGCTTAAATCATAGTATGAATCCCCTTATAATTTAAGGTATATTCCTTAATTAAGAGGTATTGGGCTCGCTGGGGAGGAGTTTCAGGGAGGCTGCTGAGCCTGACTTTGGCAAGTTTTTTGCTGCGCTCGGGTCTGACATAATTTCTTGTGGTTTTCGTTTCCAGCGCGTGTCGGGCCGTTGCCGTTTTCGGAAAGTAGCTCCCAAATCTCAGTGGTCTGACCCTGCACCCTTGAATCTAGAACCTTTATCCCCCAACCCTCAACCCTAGTAGGTCGAGGGCTCGACCAGCCTTTCTTAGCTTAGTCAGGCTCGGTTCCGGCAACGTCTGTCAGTGCATGTAGAAGGCAGAGGCTGTATACCGAGGACGAAATTCCCTTAGAGTCCTCCGATATTTGTAGCATGATATTCGCAAACGAAGGCCCATAGATTCGGCACGATGTGTAGGAAGTTGCCGCTAGGTCCTCTCAATGAAGGAGTTCCCGAAGATACAGAACACTTAGCATAGACTGCACATGCTGAGATCTTAACCGCCAAGAAACTCCATGATAATCCTCGGTAAGATCAGTCCCGAACCCTTTGACACCCTTATGAAGCCCCGCAATCTCTCGATTTAGGTCGATGCTTTGGGGAAAACCTCCGGCTACCAGCTAACGACCCCACTCGAGGCCAGAAGGGTTCAGGCTTCTCAGCTTTTGTTGGTTTCATGTTTGTTGTATGTAATGTTTAGGGTTTACGAGCCCTCTCTGATGATGATGATGATGATGACGACGACTTTTAACCTTGGTAGCGTTGTTCATGTTTTTGTTGTAAGGTTATTGCTGTTGAACTGTAACAGTAAAGGAATGATGCTGTTGCGTTATGATTACTAGAATATCGTTACAAGCAAGCATGAGGCTGAGGCTAGGGTTCTGGTGAAGTTTGAGGGTCCAAAAGTAAGAGTGATGAAGATTCATGGCACTGGCGAGCTGGCCTGAAAATTTGCTTCACCTGTAATACGGTAAGGGCTCTGCAGTATTAGGGGGGGGGGGGGGGTTGAGTTTTGCACTCACACTAGAGCCTACACCCACAACCCAAATGACCGAGTGCTCCGCACCTTCGGCCCAAGAGTGAGTAGGACTTCTTTGTCCCGTGCGAATTCCAACGAGTTTCAATTCGACGTTCGAAGCAGCAATGCAAATCTTCGTGAAGACCTTGACTGGCAAGACCATCACCTTGGACGTTGAGGCCAGCGACACGATCGACAACGCAGCTTGGCATGTTCCGATCGGTTGTATCCCGTCGAAACAGTACCATTTCCATTAACACTCAGTGTGATGCGATGTCGAAGCGGCCCTCCGGTGCAGCAGAAGAAAGGACCTTGAAAACGAGTTGCTATGCGGAAGGAAGCCAAAAACCGCAAAATTGTCGCATCGACTGGAGCATTAACGAGGTCTGACATTGTAAGTATAGCGACCAGTCCTCGTGAATTCGTGTGTAAGAGAGGTCATAACGCTTTCAGCAAAGGCAGTCTGTACAGTACCTGAATGAAATCGGAAAAGCACCTTATGAGTACATCATGAAGACTTGTTGAGTAGGCCGCCCGGAACAGCCACAAGAGCAGGTGTTAGCGGCTACTAGGATACCCAGCTTTAATTTCAGGAATCTGTCTCCGAAAAGCAAGAGTTCTTGTGGAACATTCAATACTTTGATTAGGTGCATGCTGAGACAGGCTCCCGGGCTGCGAACCGCTTCGCTGTCGAGGGAAAATTTCTTGCGGTGTTTCTGCCAAAATCTAAAGATGTTTCCGCCTGCCGGCAATACAAAGAACAGTCACAAAATTCAGTTTCAT